GGCTTGATAAAAATCCGCGACAATCACGGATGATGCAATATTTTTCAAGGCCAAACAAATTTCATCATAAACCCCAAAAATAGAATTATATTTTTGCGCACCCCTGCAAATTACCTATATCTAAAGAAAAAATAGAAATCGATTGCACCCTGTCACTCCATTGGGTCTCAAACTGACCAAATGGTGAAAGAAAAGAAACTGAAGCGGTTGTTTCAATTAATTTGTTCAAGGGCGTACTTAGCATTTTCAATTGGTGGCTGATCTCGAAAATAACTTTCAATCTGTTATTATTTGCGGTAAAAAAAATTCCTTGTTAATCTTAACGCCTCCTAAACTAAACAATTCTCTTTTAGTCGTCCATAGCTGATGCTAACTTCAAGAATAGTAACTCGCTGTGCATTCTCAGTCTAACATTTTCCCACTAATATGTATTAGAATAAGTATATCGAATCAATTTCTATGTCTGCTGCCAGAAAAGTTGGTTCACTGTATCGTGCGAAACACATTTTATCAATCGAATGTATCTTTCACTTTTATAAGTCTACCTTTCGTTCATGCATTAAATATTTTCACCACATCTGGTTTCACTTTTCCACTGTCTTAACGTAGCTTCCCTGTGCTTTTTCTGTAAATATTTTCATTGCAATTGTTCTAATGAGTTTTCCTCTTTGGTACTTGAACCTCAAGAACTTAAAGGGAGATTAGCAGTTAGGTCTCACCATTTTATTGTTGAAATTGACAACGTAATCATAAGCTCCATTCTAATTGTTTCTTCTCTCACACTTCTCGCCTATGGAACTCTCTTTCATCTCCTTGCTTTCCTCTTAACTACATTCATCAAAAATTTAAATGCAATGCCAGTCGTCACCTTCTGTCTCATTTAATCCTCTTCTTTTTATTGTCCTTTCTCCATAGTAAAGTTTTGAGATCTTGTTTCACTCTTTGCAACTCTTGTGGGGGTGCTGTAAGACGAGCTATATGCAAATGCTTTGACACTGCTCCATTTGGAACCAGTTTAAAATGTGTAATGGCGCCTTGATGGGGTTTTCTTTCTTAACCTGTTATTTGAATTAGTGTGGAATGTTAAAATCCTATGTCACTATTTTCCCTTCGATTTACATATGTGATCCCTTTTTAGTTTTTGCTGCTGTTCATAGTACTCAAGTGATGGACTTTCTGATTTTTTTTATTACAGTTCTATGCCGCCATTTCACAATGTACAAAGATGCATAGTTTTGACCAAGCTCTACTCGCTCAAAGCCATTTTTAAACATTGATCTTAAAAAAACGGTTGTTTACAGGTAACAGTTTAGATATTTCTGAACGATTTTGGCACCATTCTTGACATCCACATGAATGTCTTGATCTGACGAGGCTATATAAGAACATAATTCGAGTTTTTAGGTTTTGGTTTTCTAGCAATTTGCGGTGTTAGACGAAACTACCTCTTTCAATTTCCTTTTCTGCTATAGTATTTTTTTTATAATTGATCCATGCGCTGAGGTATTTGAAGTGTTTAATATTTACTAATTCCATATCTTGAATTTTTATGATGGATTCAAGATAGGTGTCATCACTGCTTTCATTGAAATTCCAGATTATAGTTTCTGTTTTGGAAAGGTTTATCCTGGGTGCTATTTCTTCGAAAATTTGGTAGAAGATGCTGTTTTTATGCTTAATGCCATTCTTATCCTAACTATGAATACCTATGTCCTTGGCATAGCCCATCTCCTCATCATAGTACAGTCCGCCAATCACTAAAATTCATTTTAACCATTGATCTTGGGTTGTATACAGCTGAGAGTTTGAATGAGTTTGACGTCATGCATGACATCATTATGAATATTTCGATCTGCGAGAGTATTTAAGTACATGACTCGATTTTTCAGGTTGATGTCTTGGTTTTGTAGCAATTTGTGGTGTTGGGGGACACTACCTCTGGCGAAGCTTATACTAAGTTCAATTTCTTTTTCTTCTTTACTAAATGTCTTATACCTGATCCTTACGTCGAGGTATTTGAAGTGTTTAGTATTCACTAATTCCATATCCCAAACTTTTATGATGGATTCAGAGTATATTTCATCACTGCATTTAGTCAAATTCCTGATCATAGTTTTAGAAAGGTTTATATTGAGTCCTATTTCTTGAAACACTTGTTAGAGGATGCTGATTTCCTGCAAGGTCATTCTGATTCCCACTATGAATACTTATTTCATCAACATAGCTCCCTTCATCATCAGTACACTGGTTTTTGGAGGGAAAGTAAGATCGTTGTTTTCTATTCGTATATTCGTTTAGATGCTTAAATGATCAGTGTACATCTATCACATCTGAAAGAGACAGGATGAAAGTTCAAAAATATATATACAGGAAAAAAAGGTCTTTGAAAATTTAACCAACTGAATTCACCTGAATTTGCACCTTCACATTACCTCTTATTTCAATCCCTACAAAATCCTCTTAATGAAAAGAACTTTGGAAGCCTGTAAAAACCACTTAGACCAGTTTGTCAACCTATGCAGTTCCTCACCTATGCAGTTCCTCACCTATGTAATCATCAATACTTTATTATACTATCGATATTAGCCACATTAATTAACTTTTACTTTAAAATTGCGCAATATATGCAAATTATATAAGAACATAACTATTTCTATTCATGTGAGAAATTAGTATATGAAAAATTTAAATAACAGTTTATTAGCATAGCCTTTTGCCAGACTAATATAAGGTGACTAAATTTTTGGCCTCGGCAGTCTCTCTCTCTCTCTCTTTCTCTCTCTCTATCTCTCTCTCTCTCTATCTCTCTCTCTCTCTCTCTGTGTGCGTGTGCGTGTGGGGGGGGTGCCCATTCATTTCCCCTATTATTTTGCTCTCGCTTATATTTACTCCATTATGGACCATCATTGTTCTTGTGGTACTTGCTTTAAGACATCCAGTGACAGCAAAAGGCCAAGTGGAGATAAAGAAGAATGGTGAGAGTATATCAGTATTAAGAGGTAGAGAATGAACATAATGCAATAGATAGATAGATATGAACAGATCGGGAATAATAGATAGATATAAACACTTAGATAGATAGATAGATAGATAGATAGATAGATAGATAGATAGATAGATAGATAGATATGAACAGACTGAAATAGATAAATAGATAAAGTGGAGATGAAGAAGAAAAGAAAGATCGTGCCAAATGGTGAGAGTATATCAATATTAAGAAGTAGAGAATGAACAGAATAAGATAGATAGATAGATAGATAGATAGATAGATAGATAGATAGATAGATAGATAGATCTAAATAAATACCTATGTAAATATTCTTTTTATTTCCGTAAATTAATTTCCTAAAACCAGATAGATAGATAGATAGATAGATAGATAGATAGATAGATAGATAATGAATAGTCTGATATAGATAGCAGAACAAATACACAAATATATATTCTTCATTTCCAAATACGGCCAGTACACAGTGACCGTGTTCATAATTGATATTAAACCAGCATGAAAATTTACGAAGTTCGATACGCAATATTCTCATCGATACATATCTCTAATGACTAAAATCATTTTAAAATGATGGAAGCCCTTATTAATGAATAAAAAAAAGGAAAGAAAAAGACAAGCCATTAAATATTCCCACTGTTATTTTTACATGTGAGCGGCGGGAGACTACCACCATCCCTCAACCCATGAAGAGGAGAATGAAGAAGTCGTTGCTCATGAAGTACTAAGGAACGTGCAATTTGGAACAAAAATATACATGAAAATTGATTTCTCAATTAAAAAGTAATTTTTAGTGATGAATGTAGAGCTAAATTGGATGGAATTGATCGCTGGGAAAGAAATTTCACAAAAATAACCAATCAACATTTAATTAATATTTTGTGCTGATATTTCAAGCAGGAAAATATAAATCTCTTTAAAATAAATTACCATGTATGATTAATGCAGAAAAGTATTTTAAGTTCTTGGACAAGATGAATTTGACAGGTACAGGTTGCAACCATTTAGATTTAAGTTGAAAGGTTTCGACGACACCAAATTAATGGTATGGTCCACAGCTTTTCAAGATATTAACCCAAATGAAAACTTGTGGGTCCGTATCAAAAGAGATTATCATTTAATCTCTTTATATGAGATTAAAAACAGCAATATTATTTTAAAATATCTCTAGAAGCAATAAAAATGTAATAATAAAATTTAAACAGTAGAAATGTCAACAAAATCAAAGTGCAAAGATGTAAAATGATAAAATAATAATGCAAAGTTTAACTTAAGACCAGGCAAAAAAATGTGTATCAAAAGGGCATTATTTGGCATTACTATTACCTATATAGCGGAGGAGGCATGGTAGGTTAATGGACAGAGAATCGGAGAGCTGAGGTCGAATTCCAGTCGAATCCATTACATTCACTTACTTGCTAATACTCTTGGGAAAGGTATGAATCCTCTTCTTCTTCCCCCCAGATATGGGTAAATAGCAGGACAGACCGGATTCTATAGCCTTAGATGGCAACTGGTCTACCGCAAAAAGAAGTGGCAACCTACTGCGTCAGTCATGTATTGAAAGATGCATGATCGCCTAAGCGCGTATCACGCATGGCACATAACTGACTATTACCTATTGATTTACGGCTTATCAACCCTTTACACGCTATTTAAATCCAGAAAATATTCTTTAGATTGTAATAGTTTTCCTTTTTTGGAGACAATATATTTCGTGATACAAGCTTTACTAATTAACTTATAGCTGGGGGAGAAGAAGCGGATTCATACCTTTCCCAAGGGTATTTACACGTAAGTGAATATAACGAACACAACTGGAATTGGAACTCAGCTCTCTGATTAGCAATTCTGAGACATTATCCATGAGACCACTCACACATCTAACACCTGGTATTCCCAATCAGTTTACCTATCTAGGTACTGACCAGACTCGACATTGCTTAACTTCGGCGATCGTATGGAAACCGAAGGATTCAACGTGATATGGCCAAAAGCCTATTTTTTTGAAAAGCTATTTTTAGAATTTTAGTAAAAAGAATGTTAAACACTATTTATTTATTCAGTTGCTTATTTTTTACACTATGTTCAATTAATACAAGGCCCAAGAGTCACTCATAGTAGAGTATTACTTAATAATATTGCATGAGCATAAGAAGCGAAGGTAAAAAGTGTAGATTATGAAGTTATGTAGGAGACATAACGGTTAACCCTAAACTTGAAGATGTTCAGATTTTACAATGATCGAGAAAACATCCTCTCGGGAGTTTCTACCCCAAATTAGCAGCTGTAGGAGAAAAACTATCCAAGTGGAGCATCTTCTTACAAATGGAATATATAAATTAATAATTTGCAATTAACCATAATAGGAGGCACCTTGAAGTAATGGATAGAGGCTCAGATTGAGAAATCGGAGAGCCGAGTTCGAATTCCAGTCGAATCCGTTCCATTCACTTATGTGCTAATACCCTTGGAAAATCCTCTTCTTCTCACCCCAGATATGGATAAATAACAGGACTATAGCTTTGGATAGCACAGCAGAAAGAAATAGCAACCTACTGCAAGAAAACATCTGCCTCGTTAATGATGTATCGAAAGATACATGATCGCCTAAGTGTGTATCACGCATGGCACATAACTGACTGACTGAATTAACCATAAATATATGAAAATTAAATTTCCTATTTTGTTTTGCACTTTTTGGTTTTGTTTGAGTGTTTTTTAAAAAAAAATGTACTTCCAATTTTCACATATTGTGATTTTGTTAAAATTCTAAAAATAGTTTGTAAAACAATAAAAATTACCGAATAATAAAAAGACCGTCCTTATAATACTTTTTTTTTCTTTGATCCTAATGTAAAATTTGCCAATACAGTAAGTCCCCGGGTTTACGACAGTCCTATTCTACGACGGTTTGTGGTTACGACACAGTCTCCATTAATCGTGTTTCAACTTATGCCGTTTTGCCTCGTACATAAGGTTCAGTTCCTGGTTGTATTGGAACGTTGTGCATTCACTCTTTTTCGTTTGTGTTGCGCTTGTGGAAACTTACGCCCCTTAATTATGGCTACCAAAGCGTAATGTAACCTCTTCCGCTGATGGTGCTTCGAAAAATAGGAAAGCCATCAGTATGGAAGTGAAATTAGACATTGTTAAACGCTCTGAACAGGGAGAAACAGCAACGAACATGAGCCAGTTGCTTGACTTAAGATGTTCGACTGTCGCTTAAAACTTGCCCACATGTATAGACATAATGAGGTTCCTTGTTAGGGATAAGGACATTTTCTTAATAAACTATGGGCTGGTGAATTTCCGATAAAAAAAAGAAAATTGCAGCTGCTTCCTAATACTGAAAAGACAAAAGATTTTACTCTTCATCATCTTATCTATCGAAAGCCAATGACATCTTCTTTATGTGTCATGACCCCACAAGTCGTAGGCGATCATGGCTCTCCACAACTTCCTTTCCCTTGTATCTCTTAATAAACTTTGTTCTTCCTCTATTTCTCCTAATCCCTGTCCCGCCATCCATTTACTCAAGCTCATGAAGTATATTATGCGTTGTTCCTCTGTCCCTCTTGCGCTCTATCTGTCCCGTGAGTATCAGATTTTCCAAGCCCTCTTTCCTCATTATATGCCCTAGAAACCATAACTCTCTTTTCCAGATGTTAAGTATTTGTTTCCTTTTTGTTTCCATTTTCTCCAAAACTTCGTCGTTACTCATATGTTCGGTCCACGGTATCCTCAGCATCCTTCTGTAGAATCACATTTCTGTTGGTTCAAGTCTCCTCTTCATCTTTGAGGATATCGTTCGTCACTCACTGCCATACAGAAGGATAGATATAACATAGTAGTTTTGTACTCTTTTCTTTGTTTCTATCGAAATATTTCTATTCCTCGGTATTCTGCTTAGCTTTTGGAATGCTATTCCAATATGCCTTCGGATGTCAGAGTCACTCTTTCTCTTCTCTACAAGAAGACAGAATCCATGGTTGTTAGCAAAAGGAAGAGCCCAAATTGCGAATTGTAATTCGGAAATACCAAAGTCAAACAAGCGCGTAAATTTTAATATCTGGTAAGTGTTTTACCAGAGGAGGGAAAGAGTGACTCTGAGATCCGAAGGCTTACTGGGGTAGCCAAGGAAGCATTCCAAATGCCAAACAGAGTACTAAGAAATAGAAATATTTCGCTAGAAACAAGGAAAAAGAGTACTAAACTGCTACGTGATCTCTGTCCTCCTGTATGGCAGTGAGTGCTGGACGATCTCCTCAAAGATTAAGAGAAGACTTGAAGCAATAGAAATGTTGTTCTACAGAAGGATGGTGAGGATAACATAGACCGAACATGTGAAGTTTAAGAGAAAAATAGAAGCAAAATAAAAATTAATACTTAACATCAGGAAAAGACAATTGAGGTTTCCTGGGCATATAATGAGGAAGAGGGTGCTTGGAAAATCTGATACTCATGGAGGAGATTTAGGGCAAGAGAGACAGAGGAAAACCACGCATAACATAAGTTGCTGTTTAATCCTTTCTTCTCGCTTCCCTTCACTAACTTCTGCAGGAGATTTTTGTTTTTATCTTTTTGTGTCTGCTATCAACACTTTGTCATCTGCATACCTTATGTTGTTAAGATTGCGGCAGCCGATAAGGAATGTTGGTAGGACTTCTCTCAGAATCACAGGACACGTGAGAGTGAGAGAAAAAGGACGCATAAGAGAGGGAGAGAAGGGACACATAAGGAAGAGAGATAAGGACACATAACAGAGAGAGAAAAAGGACACATGAGACTGAGAGAGGGAAGGGACACAAGATAGAGAAAGAAGGAATTCATGATAGAGAGAAGGGACACATAAGAGAGAGATATGCGCACATAATAGAGAGAGATACGGACACATGAGAGAGAAGAGATACATAAGCGAGATGCCCCATAAGAGAGAGATATAGTGATACATAAGAGAAAGAGAAGAGACACATGAGAGTGAGAGAGGAAGGGATACATAAGATAGAAAGAGAAGAGACACATGAGAGAGAAAAGGGACACATAAGAGAGAGAGAGAGGGGTATAAAGAAAAATAAGAGAGTGAAGATACACGTTAATGAGAGAGTATGGACACATAAGAGAGAGAGAGAAGGGACACATCGGAGTGAGAGAGAAGGGACATATAAGAAAGAGAGAGAAATAACACGTGATAAAGAGAAGAGACACATGAAAGAGAGAGAATGGACACATAAGAGAGAGCGAATGTCCACATAACAGAGGGGGAAATGGACGCATTTAAAACTATTTCAATTCATTATATGAATTCCTACCTTATTCTAGTATAAGAGAGTTTGCGCTAATCAAATGTATGCTTCTCTGTCTTTATATTTGGGGTTTATTTATAAAGAAATATTTATATTACAGTTATTTGCTTGCATAATAAAACCACACATACCCAAATTATTATTATTATTTATGATAGAGATATAGATATTAAAATATGAAACCCACAAAGAAATTATAAAAATAAATATGAATAAATATAAATATGAGCTTTTACTGAAAATTATAGCAGTAACATTTACACAATAAAAACATAATATACAAACACGTACATATTTATAAATGTGTGTAAATATGTATTCTTTTATGCAAGGTAGGGGGTTGTAGATCTTGCAAAAACGCAATTCTATTTATCTATACGGCGATTGTTGTCAGTTATTCTCACTTCGAATGCAAAAACCAATATTCCTTAATCCTGCCACTTGTTCGGGCTCCAAAGCCGATTACCGACGCAACGGTTGATGATATATCCGTTAGCTTTTCGGCTACAATGCAGCGACAACAGCGTATCGATGGTCAGACCGAATGAGAATGAAGTAATGCAGTGAACTGTTCAAGGAAAAAAATCATTTACTTTTCTTCCTCTGTTTAATCACATTTACGCAAACGTCAACACTGAGAATTCTAAATCCATCTAAAACCGAGTTCGATCCGTCAGTCGGTACCAAACAATCTTTACAAACACACACATAGACACACATAAATACATTCACACGCACACACATAAATAAATACATACACACACACACATAAATACATATATACACACATATATATATATATATATATATATATATATATATATATATATATATATATATATAAGTGGAGACCGAGGTGACAGTCTATTTTATTCTTGAACACAATCGTCAGCCATGAAGATTGCGTTCAAGCGTGAAACAGACTGTCGCCGCTTGCTGTTGACCTAGGTGCCAATTGTTATATTGCTCTATCCCTGATATTGGGAACTTTTACCCATAAATATAGCTTAAAATATATTCTTATAATTTTTATCATATATATATATATATATATATATATATATATAAAAGCTAAAATAAATTCCGTGTGTGCATAATGCAAGTGGATCCTAGTAATATAAAAATATTAAAAATGATCCACAAAAACAGAGCTCGATGTATTTTATTTGTACAGAGCAATGTGATGAATAGTCAAAAAAAACACATGAAATAAAAAAGTTTTTGATTATTCAACATATATATATATATATATATATATATATATATATATATATATATATATATATAACTGAGAGAGAGAGAGAGAGAGAGAGATAGATAGATAGATAGATAGATAGATAGTACACAATAAAATACAAAATTAACACATATGGGGAATAGGCTTATTTCAAACGACGAAACATTGAAACGATAAAATTCTCTATTAGTTTTTCGATGGGTTTTTGTTTGTTTTTTGTAGCTGTCATGGTTAAATTTCTAATTCCTACACGAACTCAGTCTATACCGGGGTTGAATAAGAGCAACGAATTTCGTCGGTTGAAATAAGCCTATTCCCCATATGAAGTAATTTTGGAATTTATTGTGTACTATTTATTTGCTCTGTAATAATAAATACATTGAGCTCTTTCTGTGGATCAGTTTTAATATTTTATATTACTAGGATCCACTTGGATTATATATCAACGGA